AATAAGGTATTATTCATATATATCGTTCGAAAGCTAACACTTTTAACTTCCGTTTTATGCTAGTAACGTTCGCGAAATAGTTACGTTTATGTTTTTATAGCCCGTTGAAGTGGGTAACCGATGCCTTTTTTAAGCCCGAAGTGTCCGACTTAGGAAACAGATACGCTACATTTGTCACAGTTCTACCCTAATGATATTCTTGCTAGTCTTCTATGTTTGTTCTATGTATATACATTAGGGCTGTCAAACGATTAATTTTTTTTTAGTTGATTAATCGCATAGTAATGATGAGTTAACTCACGAATAATCGCATTTTTAACATTCTATTTCAAATCCACTCCAATTGAAGTTAAATGAGATTTTCAAATGTAATGACACATTGTTATTCAGACCAAATGTACTTCAATCTGTTTGACTCACAACCTTCTACTTTTGGGTACAACCAACAAGAGCTGTTAATGAAAGGGAAAATGTAGGTACCCCAGCTTTAATTTTGCGAGTTTGGTTGCATTTCAGCGTGTCTCCTCCTCTCCTCCATCATCAGAGAACATCAGAGAATGGCCCCTGTGCGTGTATATATATGCGTGTATTATATGACCACGTTACCGCTGCCACCATCACACACGCACGTGTCCGTGGCGTTCTGAGTGATATTATTATAAATGGGCGGGTCATTCGGACATGCGATTGACTGCCAGCCTATTTCAGAACAGGTACCCACAGAATATTGTGTACAATGACTATCTGAAATCCAAAACCAGATTCTGAAAGAATGGACTGTCTACTTTCATCAGCAAAAATAATTTTGTTTCTAGCTTGTTTCGTTCCCCTGTAATCCCCAGTCGAGTAGAGGTAAGTTTTATTGAAATCACCAGAAAGCTGAGAAAAAAGAGGCACTTGTGCATCTAGCTGTTTTCAAACCATTCATTGAGCAATGCTGCCATCTGCTGGCTCAATAAAATATTGCCTCAAGCCTTACATATTTGATACAACAGACATCTGGGAACGTGAAAATAGCGGGGAACGCAATTGACGTGTTCACATGTAAATGGCAGTTAATGCGTAAATTATTTTTTAACGCGTTAATGAAAACGGTAATTAACGTGAATTAACGCGATAATTTTGACAGCCCTAATATACATGTACATCCATCCATCCATCCATTTTCTACCCTTTAATCCATTTCTGGGTCAGGGGGGTGGCAATCAGAGATACCACCCAAGTCTCATAGCACCAGCCCCTCACTGACCCTCTGCAGGTGGTGAGTCCACAGGAGGACGGCTGCTCTCTGACTGTGAGCATAGCCTTGATCTTTCAGTGGGGGCTTTTGGGCAAAGTGGGGTTAAGTGTCTTGCCCAAGGACACCACGACAGCAGTCATCAGTGGGAGTCGATGGAGAAGGTGCAGAGGTGGGAAATGAACCCACGACCTTCTGGCCTTAAGGCCAATGCTCTACCAACTGAGCTACTGTCGCATATATACATGTACATGTATGTGACTATTTTTGTTGCACAATGCTGTAGAATTGCAAAGAACATATGCAGTAAATATGTGAAACACAAACATACATACAAATACAGACATACATACATATACATACAGACATATATTTATTTGATTTATTTAGACATTTATTTAAAGAGGAATAACCCCATGAGATGTATCATCTCGTTTCTGTGGGATGTCCTCTATAGACAGGTTACAGCGTAGTCATTTGATGCACAAAAACAATAAAAGAAACAAAATGACAAAAAGAACATGCATCGATACATACAGTACATATACATACAGTACACATACATACATACAGTCATTATGTGAAATGTCTGTACAGGTCGTGTATAGTGTGCTCATAGTCGTGCTCAAGTGAAACGTGACTATGTCATTTGACTGTTGTTCGTACTCAATGGTGTCAGGACTTTGACGATGTTTCATTTCTTAGAGTGTGTGTCCAAACTTTTGGTCTGTACTGTATATATATGTATGTACAGTGCCTTGCGAAAGTATTCGGCCCTCTTGAACCTTTCAAAATTTCGCCACATTTCAGGCTTTAAACAAAGATATAAATTTTTTATTTTTTGTCAAGAAACAACAAGTGGGACACAATCGTGAAGTGGAACAAAATTTATTGGATAATTTAACCTTTTTTAACAAATAAAAACTGAAAAGTGGGGCGTGCAATATTATTCGGGCCCCTTGCGCTAATACTTTGTAGCGCCACCTTTTGCTGCAATTACAGCTGGAAGTCGCTTGGGGTATGTCTCTATCAGATTTGCACATCGAGAGACTGGAATTCTTGCCCATTCTTCCTTGCAAAACAGCTCGAGCTCAATGAGGTTGGATGGAGAGTTTGTGAACAGCAGTCTTCAGCTCTTTCCACAGATTCTCGATTGGATTCAGGTCTGGACTTTGACTTGGCCATTCTAACACCTGGATACGTCTATTTATGAACCATTCCATTGTAGATTTGGCTTTATGTTTTGGATCATTGTCCTGTTGTCAGTTAAATCTCCGTCCCAGTCTCAGGTCTTTTGCAGACTCCAACAGGTTTTCTTCCAGAATGATCCTGTATTTGGCTCCATCCATCTTCCCATCAATTTTAGCCATCTTCCCTGTCCCTGCTGAAGAAAAGCAGGCCCAAACCATGATGCTGCCACCACCATGTTTGACAGTGGGGATGGTGTGTTCAGGGTGATGAGCTGTGTTGCTTTTACGCCAAACATATCGTTTTGCATTGTGGCCAAAAAGTTCGATTTTGGTTTCATCTGACCAGAGCACCTTCTTCCACATGTTTGCTGTGTCTCCCAGGTGGCCTGTGGCAAACTTTAAACGAGACTTTTTATGGATATCTTTGAGAAATGGCTTTCTTCTTGCCACTCTTCCATAAAGGCCAGATTTGTGCAGTGCACGACTGATTGTTGTCCTATGGACAGACTCTCCCACCTCAGCTGTAGTTATCTGCAGTTCATCCAGAGCGATCATGGACCTCTTGTCTGCATCTCTGATCAGTCTTCTCCTTGTTTGAGATGAAAGTTTGGAGGGACGGCCGGGTCTTGGTAGATTTGCAGTGGTCTGATACTCCTTCCATTTCAATATAATTGCTTGCACAGTGCTCCTTGAGATGTTTAAAGCTTGGGAAATCTTTTTGTATCCAAATCCGGCTTTAAACTTCTCCACAACAGTATCTCGGACCTGCCTGGTGTGTTCCTTTGTCTTCATGGTTCTCTCTGCGCTTTAAACAGAACCCTGAGACTATCAAAGAGCAGGTGCATTTATACGGAGACTTGATTACACACAGGTGCATTCTATTTATCATCATCAGTCATTTAGGACAACATTGGATCCTTCAAAGATCCTCACTGAACTTCTGGAGTGAGTTTGCCGCACTGAAAGTAAAGGGGCCGAATAATATTGCACGCCCCACTTTTCAGTTTTTTCTTTGTTAAAAAAGTTTATGTTATCCAATAAATTTCGTTCCACTTCACGATTGTGTCCCACTTGTTGTTGATTCATCACAAAAAATTAAATTTTTATATCTTTATGCTTGAAGCCTGAAATGTGGCAAAATGTTGAAAGGTTCAAGGGGGCCGAATACTTTCGCAAGGCACTGTATGTGTGTGTGTATCTATCTATGTACATACTGTTTGTATCTATGTGTGTATGTAAGCAAAATACACGCGTGCGATTGTGTGTAAAACTGTTCCGACTAGGATGGACTTTAATCGACTAAATCAGTGTCTTCCAAAGTGGGGTCCGCGGCCCCCTGGTGGGCCGCGAGGGTACTGCAGGGGGGTCGCGGGAGGTCATAAAAAAAATAAAAAAATAATATAATTATTTAATGTTAAATTTATAATGTTTTGTTTGTAATATTTAAATATTTGTGTTCATTATTTGACTTGAATAATCCACTGTAATCATTTTTGTATTACAATGTTTGTAGCAGAGGCTATTTCCCCAAAATAAAATAACCAGAAGAGCCTATTCTTAATGTTGTCTTCTTGGTTATTATTTTGGGGGGCCACGCAGACCCGTCAGATTTTTAAGGGGGCCTCGGTGCTACTGAGTTTGGGAATGGCTGGACTAAATGTATCAAAAGGGCATCATGAACCCCACACAGGCCTTGGCAGATGTTTGGTGGACATGAATAGGCCTGTTGTTAAATAAACACTATTTTCAAATCAATTACATGTTGTTTTAGGTTTAGATATAACATGAGTCTCTTTTAAATGTAAAATTATTGATTGTTTTTGTTTTGTACACATTTCCAAGAGAGGAGAGGAGATGCCTCCAAAAAGAGAGGAGAGGACTGAGGAGAATAGGGAAGGTCCTTTCACAAAGGCCACAGTGGACGCCGCGACACAGACCTCTGGGACCAGCAGCAGCAGCGTTGGTAAAGATGTTATATACAGTACTGTGTTTACCAGTGTTCACATGTGCCATGGAAGAGTTTATTTGTATAGCACATACACAAGGCAACTCAAAGTGCTGAACAAAATAAGAAAGCATTAAAATCATAAATAATCACAGAACATTAAAAGAAAGATAAAAATATAAAATCCCTCAGTTGTATGCACAGCTGAACAGAACTGTGCATACCTGGTTTTAAACATTGTCAGAGAGGAGGCCTGTCTCACATCTTCAGGAAGATTGTCACTGAGGACATTTTTTTTTCCATGTCTGAGTGACAGTAGAATGATCCAATCAGAGGCTGATCTGGTATTTAACAGGTCGTCAAACATGTATTTGTCAATCTGTCCTTTTGACTTCATCCACTCTATTTATTTGACAAGTCTGTGTTTCTAATCTATGATAGTACATTTAGTTTCTGAGTTACACCTAAGTCTCATCAATGTCTATATGTGTCATTGATGTTTGTTTGTGAGTGAAATGTAATCATGTTTTTTTTTAAACTGCTAATTAAAAAAAAGTACTGTGATTATTTAAACCCATGTTGTGTGTTTACAGCGGAGGAGGACACACTTGAAGGTCCCTCTGTGACGATGAGGAGGTCTGAGGAGGACCCACTTGAAGGTCCCTCTGGGGGGATGAGGAGGTCTGAGGAGCCTGGACCCAGCATCGGTGAGAACAGGAAGAGCAGATATTCTAAAACATTGCTAATAACACTTTTCTAACCATTTGTTATGGGACAGAGCATAATCTTTATATTAACCCTATATGCCCGCGTGCATCGGCACCGATGCACGCGCACATGTTTTACAAATGATCAATTTACTCGCGAACGGTAAAACGTAGCAACTTACTTTTTTTTCCTCTGTGAAGTACGTAATCAGGGCTTTCCGAAACTAGTTTTGATTTGTCTGTGCGATGCACGGAGGATAAACTACGTTTGTCTGAAAGTCCGTGTCCAAAGCATGACCCGTGAGGTACAAACAGCTGTGAGATACAAACACACGGGGACTGCCAAAGATCGTCAGAGAGTGAGATCTCTCACTCCTCTGCGTTTCCTTGTTCTCCCACAGTTGAAACTACAGCTGCGATTGCAAAAACCGGCTGAAGAGTGCGCATTATTGATAAAGACGATAATAAATACAGTAAAATGACATTATGTGTATATGATGTATATAAATATATGTATTAAATAAATAATTGATGTTTTTTTTTTTTTTTGGCTCAGTTTTTTATGTTTTACGTTTTTTACAGCTGTACTACAGAAGCAACCCCAGCATTATAGACAAACTGCTTCAAGAAGGGCATCAGGAGTACAGAGTTTTTTGCTTTTATAGTGGAATTTTGTAAAAAGTATAATAGTTAGAGATTCAATTTTTTCCCCCATTATCCCCAAGACCATAAATAACATTTCTATGCAGTGTAAAAAGTTGTTTATAGCATTTCATTGTGTTTTTTCAATACATTTTTGTTAAATTGATTTTCCGTTTGATTTTTTTCTTCGTCTTTATGATTCTATCATTTTTATATAATTCATATGACAGCTTTACAATATGAATATTCTAAAACCCCAGGTTGTACTGAAAAAAACAACGTATACTGCTCTACTCTGCATCAAAAGATGACTGTTTTATGAACCATTATACACAAAGAAAACCAGGCGAGGAAAGTTCCCCAAAATGACCCATGGGCATAGAGGGTTAATGAATATTATACTTTGTTGAAGTAACTGTAAAATGGTTCACAGCTGTGTGCACAGAGGAGGTCTGTGGAAGCTCCTCTGAGGAGTCGGAGTCAGCGGAAGACCTCGATAAGCCCCAACCTCAGCCCAAGAAGAGGAAGAAGAAGATGCGTACTGGTGAGTCAAGCCCTAGAAAGAAGTGCAGGAGGAGCAGCACTGGTGAGACTTTAGTTTTCATTGAACCCTTTAATAACCACTTTATCACTACAGTATCAGCACCTGACCTCATGTCCTGAGTCCGAGCACTTTCAAAGACTTTTCCAATTTATTTCTGTTATGGATTTTAGAAGTCCTCTATCCAACTTTTGGTCATCAAATCAAAAACGGGATAATTCTATCTAGGCTATTTTTTACTTTAAAATATTTATTTTGGTACAAGTAATTACAAAGTAATTACACCAGTCTGATTAGTGAATATAACTTCCTGCTCCCTTAGGCGGTAAAATCAGGGCCTCACGTACCCCCCAGAGGCCGAGTGGAGCAGCTGGAGGCCCCAGCACGAGGAGTAGGACAAGAGCGGAGAGAGTCCAGCAGGAAGACTTCGACCCCAGCGATCACCCCGTGTTGACTCTCAAAGGCCCCGGTCCTGGTGAGTTCAAAGAAGCACAACTATCAGTGTTCAAATAAAATCATGAATAAATTGTGACCATAATAATATCAAAACAATAACGCAGTGTGCTTGCAAAGCGCTTTTTGGCATTTAACACATTATTCATTCACTCCATACACAGTACAGTTACATAATGTGGTTTTCTTTATAGACTTATTTAGGGAGAAAATATATTCCTTTATTTTTTTTTCTATATTCCTCATTTAAATAAGCAATATGTAAGATTTTCATGTCAAGTCATATTTAAAGGGCCCTAACCTGTCATAATAATAAACTGCTCTTTTCAAATACTCCTTTAACTGATAGCAGTAGTTCAGAGATATTTGAATTTCTAAATTACTTTTCCAGCCCCTAAATCTTGTTATGTTTTCATTTCGATCTCGCGCCCTCCACCGTTTCACAAGTCAGAGTCTGGTGAGTCGAAGTCTGTGATCTGGGCGCCAGAACTCACCTTGTGGAGCTAATCTCACTGGTAAAGTACCATGAGGTGCAGAACTAAAAAAGGTCTCGTTATGATTCTCAAATTAACGACTAAACAAGGAATAAAACCAGGATTTCTATCTTTTTGAAAAAGGTGTTGGTTATAGATTTGCTGTTGACAAACTTGACCACTTTTGGTCACATTTTTACATACTGCTCCTTGTACAGAACATAAATGCATTCTTTAAGTATCATTTCTTGTTTTAGGGACATTAACCTATTTGATTTTGGATTGTTGTAGGGCAATTTAGGATTGAATACCTAAAGAAGAAGAAGATTGGAGCGGGTGGGTTCGGCGCTGTGTTTGCTGGAGTGAGGAGGTCAGACGGTCTGCTTGTGAGTTCATTCATGTCCACTCATACTGAATACTTTCAACATTATCATAGTATTGCATTAAAAAAAAAAAACACTTTTGTCACAGACTATTTTGCTTTCACAGGTTGCCATCAAGACCGTTAAGAAATCCGACATTCTCCTCACCACAGTGGTAAGATCAGACCATTTCCATTTTCTTTTGCTGTGTCTGTTGCCAGATCGAGAGTTGTCAAAGCAGAAATGCCCAGACTTCTCTATTCATACACACTTCTCTCAGCTCATTTCGGAGGATTTTGAGACAGCAGCAGCTCTACTCTGAGCTCCTCCCATGTTCCGGTTCAAGATTACTTTAAAAAATGTCTCATAGTTTTTAAATCCCTTAGTGATCCCTTAGTGAGCATTAACGCTGGGGGCTGATACTGAGAGCCTCACCCTCGTCTCTGGGCGGACAAGATGTTTTCTAAAAGACCGACTCCATCAACGAACCTGACAGACAGTCCTGTGTCAGCCCCGAACAGTTTGGAATGAGAGGCATCTGCAAAAAACACATTTGTCCGAACTAAATCCTCATTAAAAGGGCAAAATTACAACATGTAGGTTTCAGGAGAGCCCTTTAATCTCTTGTTTCACTGCAGCCACATTAGTACAGTGTGAGAGTGGATGAATAATCCTGAGAAGCATCTTTGGACGTGATGAAAACTCGGCTCCAACAATAACAGTCGTCTCTTGGAAGAACAACAAGATTCTCTAATCCAGGGCTGTTTTACTCCTCAATGGCCGTGTGGCTGCAGGAAAACCAGCACTTTGAGGACAGTTGAATAGCCCTTCTCTAATCTGTTGTTAGAAAATTGACAATGGACCAAAGAGGCTAATTCCCCCGAGACGTGTGCTTTTGGGTAGAGTATACAACATTTTAATTAAACTAATGAAAAATAAACTTTTGTGATCTCACAGGTGGGAAAGTCGGGCCGGCAGTACCAGCTCCCGACAGAGGTGGTGATGTTGTTAAAGGCTGGAGGAGACAGCTCCTGTGCTGGTCAACACGCGGCTGTGTCTCTCATAGAATGGTTTGAGACGAAAGCCAGTATCATCATCGTTATGGAGAGGCCAGAGGAGTCCATGGACCTGGGAGAAACGATAAACCAGCTGGATGTGGAAATGTCAGAGGATGTGGCCAAGGTACACCTCACTAACATCTGGTAGTAAAAGGGCATGACGTGCTATGCACTTTATATAGTATTAAGAAGTGGACTTCTCACATTGTGAAAGCCTGGTCTCGTCAGAATGCAGAAACTAAGAAATGTGTTTCTTGTTGGCTACTGGGAGAGTGCCAAGAAACCATTACATTGTTATCACACATTCATTTAGCTTATCCAGAAACTAGAAGACTAGAACCTGGCCTTTTTGGACAAAACTGAGCACAATCCTGGGTCCAGCCAGGACTAGTGTGGCTGCTGCAAGAGAGCACAGTGTGGAAAAACCCTGTGCTGTTTTACTTCAAAACATTCCAGTGGGATAAACTAAATACATGTGTACCTTTCAGGACATGTTTCAATCCATAACCCAGTGTGTCCTGGAGATTATGGACAGAGGCGTGGTACACCGCGATATCAAATGCGAAAACATCCTGGTCCAGAAGTGTCCCCAGTCGCTTCATCGTTTTCGGATCGTGGACTTTGGCTGCGCCAGGGAGCTGGAGGTGCGGTACAACGGCTTCTTTCCAGGTACGATATCGGACTAAATAATGTCAATACCAAACTCCACAAAAAAAACAAACAAACTGGTATTTATACAATTTTACGGTAAAGCAGAGTATTTCCAGAGAGATGCAGAGTTTCAGACTCGAACACAAGTTGAATAACTCTTGTTCTGCCTCTTATTTCTCAGGGACGGCAAAGTATTTCCCTCCAGAGTTGTATCTGCAAGGCTGGTACCACGCCCAGTCCATATGCGTGTGGCAGCTGGGGGCCGTGCTGTTTGAGCTCCTGAACGGAAAGAACACCTTCACCATGACCAGAAGGACCGGGCAGTTCAGAGAAGGATTATCCAAAGGTATGCACCAAACACACTTTTTCAATGATCTTTCACAATGCACCCTTTGACTTTTCTCTGCTTTACACATTATTACAAAGCATTATTGTGTTAATTCCCTCAAGCTTTAGTAAGAGAGCGATCTCTTTCTCTTTCATTATCGAGAAGCAGCAAACGCCTCGGATCAAAACGTGTGTGTGTGCATGCAGGCGTTCACAAAGACAAGTTTAAAGAAGCTATAGCCAATTTTTTTCTAATGAGTTCATAAAAATGCTTATTTCTACATAAGCATTTTTATGAAGTAGTATTTGAATCGGTAATTTAATTGAAAACTTGAGCTCATTGATTCAGCTGTGTATGAATTCAGGCCGTAAAAAGTGCTGAGTAGAGACTTAGCGTGACGCCCGCTCTCCTCCAATCACAGAACGATTGGTTGTAGTTTGGTGAAGAATGTGATAGTAAAGTATTCCGGTCTGGTTCTATCAAGAAACTGAAGCCGGAGCAAGAGAAATGTTTAGCAAATGTAATCGCTGGCAAAGATCGTGGCGCTACTCCCCACGGGCTCCGTTAGCGGCAAAGGATATGGCTAAAGCTAGGCTAAATGCTAATGACTCACCCGGGTGCATTACATACGCCACGGTAAACTCAGATCCAATGGTTTCAATCTGCAGAAGGAGTTAACCCCTCCCACCTGTTAACGGAGTCAATGGAGCAGATCCAGACCTTAGTACGAAATGTAATTTGTACTATGGTATCGTACAACCAGGCTAGTTCCACATGTATTTCATTCATTAACTCATGCTGTACGAATACTTGTGCAGGCCCAACTTTTCGGTTTTCTATTTTTTTTTTTAAATACCAGAATCATGTGTTTTTTGCTTTCACTTCCCAGATGTCTGTTACTTGTGTGAGAACGTTAAACTGTGAAAATAAAATTGTTATTAAAATCTTTGTTTTTGGTTGTGAACATGACAAAATGTGCAAAAGTTGGAGTTGTTTTAATACTTTAAGGGTTATCCTCATTAACTAATAATTAATATTCCTTTTTTCCAGATTACCATGACTTTCTGGACTCCTGCCTAAACTTCCATTGGTTTGAGCGGCCGTCGCTGCAGAATCTGCTGTCCCACCCCTGGTTCTCTCTCCCACATCAGGAAATAGAAACAGGATCAGAAACGGTTGTGCCCATCTCCAGTCAACCAATGCCCGCCAGGCCAGCATCTTAAAAGGCGGAGACACCCACTTCCCGGCGTTCTCAAGCCTCGCATTCACCACCTCCCCTCCTCCTCCTTCTTCTACCAAGGGGGTTGATGGACTCCATATCAACCCCCTTGGTAATAGTTTCCTCACATCCAACATCATCCACTCAGTACAGTCCCACACCACCTTCATCTGACTATCTGCCTCTTCACCCTCCGCATTACCTCCTCTCCCCCCTTGTCATCGACCCAGCCCCTGCTCTTCCCCTCAGTCAATCCCTGTCATCTCAAGACCCCGACCCCACAGGACCTCCTCCAGGGAACTCTCCCTCCCCTGTCTCATCCCGGTTCCCCTTTGCTCCTCTACAGCCCCCACTTTGGACCCCTCACCTACAATCTTTGGACTTTTAAACATCAGATCCATCAACAATAAATACTTCATCTGTCAGGACTTCATCACTCACAACAACCTGGACTTCATGATTTTAACAGAAACATGGCAAGTGCAAGGCGACTGCACCCCCCTCATTGAAGCAACCCCCCCGGACTACACCTTCCTCCACCAGCCACGCCTGTCAGGGAAGGGAGGGGGGGGTTGCAGCTATTTTTAAGAACACTTTTAAATGCACTCCTGGTATCCAGAATATTTTTACTTAATTTGAACACCTGTCTTTTATCATTTCTTGTAATATCCCTGTGTTTGTTTTAATTATTTATAGACCCCCTAAACCCAGCCCTGTTTTTATTCAAGAATTCTCCGATCTTTTATCCCAGTGTATGGCCCTCTACAACAAAGTCTTAATCCTAGGTGAATTTAGCCTGGAGGAGCAGGTCTCCTCCTTTTACATCACTTAGGATTTTAGACACCATTGCACCTTTTAAACAAAGAAACCCCACCAGAACACCACAACCATGGCTCAATGAAAATACTCGCACACTATTACGCACCTGCCGACAATATGAACGGAAATGGAAAAAGACACAACTCACAGTATTTCACCTCGCCTGGAAAGACAGCCTCAAACAATATCAACACGTAGTCAAGGAAGCAAGAACCTTATTTTATTCAAATACCATCAGTCAAAACATTTCAAATCCTAGAGTTTTATTTTCAAGTTTTAAATTCTATCACAAACCCCAGTCCTGCTGTTTTTAATGATGCAACCACTGAGCTGTGTGAACAATTTTTAAATAATTTTATCAAAAAATGAATAAATAAAGAGTTTTAAATGACCTTCTTTTAACCACAGACAGCGGAGGGTGCTCTATTTTAATTCTTTTAGACCTAAGCGCAGCCTTCGACACGATCGACCACAGGATTTTATTGGATCGCCTCAAAACGTGGGTTGGCATCAGAGATACTGCACTTGGTTGGTTTCATTCTTATCTTTTAGACAGAACCTTTGCGGTCACCATGGGTGATTTTACCTGTGGTGTGCCGCAAGGTTCTATTTTAGGTCCCATTTTATTTTCTATTTATATGCTCCCCCTAGGACACGTTATGGCCCGTCATAACGTGTCCTTCCACTATGCGGACGACCTCCCGCTGAGACCAAACGACCCTGGAAGTCTGGCTGCTGTGGTCGACTGTTTTAACGATGTGAACCGTTGGATGGCCCACAACTTTTTACAGCTCAACACCTCCAAATCTGAAGTCCTCCTCATCAACCCGCCTCCATCTATATCCCACATCCAAACCCACCTCGGCCCCCTTTCCTCAAACATCACTCCCTCCGCCCGTAACCTTGGTGTCATTTTTGATTCTCACCTCACCTTCCGCTCCCACATCAATAAAACCACCCAAACCTGCTTCTATCACCTCCGCACAATCTCAAAGATTAAAAACATCCTCACTCCTCCCGATCTCCATAAAGTTGTCAACGCCCTCATCTTCTCCCGCCTCGACTACTGCAACTCCCTCCTCTCCGGTCTCGACGCTAAATCCCTCTCCCGCCTCCAACTGGTCCAGAACGCAGCAGCCAGACTTCTCACTGGTTTTAACAGAAGGGAGCACATCACCCCTGTTTTAGCGTCTCTCCACTGTGCGTTTTAGAATTGATTTTAAGATTTTACTGATTACTTTTAAAGCGCGTTTAGGTCTGGCACCAAGCTATATTTCTGAACTTTTACAGATCCTCGGGCAGGTCCCTGTTGACTGTTCCAAGGTCGAGGCTCCGGACGAAAGGTGACCGAGCCTTCTCTGTCCGGGCTCCTCGGCTTTGGAACGACCTGCCCAAGGAGATAAGGCTAGCACCATCAGTATCCTCTTTTAAATCTCTTCTTAAAACCCACTTTTATCAAACAGCTTTTAACTGTTAGTTTTAAACTTCCGATGCTGTATTTTAATGTCTGCTTTGTCTTTGTTGAGTCTCTTTTGTGTTTTGCTCTGTTTGCTTTGTGTTTCTGTATCTAATTATTTTGACCTTGCATTATGACTGTTTTTATTGTTTATCATGCTGACTGTGCAGCGCTTTGTAAACACTGTTTTTAAAAGTGCTATACAAATAAAAATAAAGATTATTATTCTTCGAGCCTGCGCCTTATCCGCTGCCAATTGCCATCACCAGTACGTAGGCCCTGGGGGATCTCATGCGCACATGAGCAGGAGCCTGGCCCGGAATATACTGCTCCCTGTTTGTGTGTGTGTGTGTGTGGCAAACCTTCCTGTCTGAAGATCCCTGGCCTGTCATTGGACAACCACTGGCCCTCCCACCTCCCAGAAGTTCGTGACTCAGGTGCTGATTGGAGGAGCAGCGGTGCACCTGGCCCATTCAGCTTCCTCACCTGGAGTCACTCCTTCTTAAGGCCACACACCACACCTGTTTGGGGCTGCCAGCCTGTGTGTGGCTGGTATGCCATTTGTCCTCATGGTCTGTCATTGTCACAGTGGCGGCAATGACTAGAGAGACCTAGTCCGTACAGCTTTTATTTGGTTTGTCTCTTTTTATTTGTCACTTTGGAGTTTTGTTTTCGTGACACTTCGCATCAGTTGTGACAACAGTAGGTTTAGTGTTTATTTCTGTGTATTGGTGTTTATTGTAGGCTTTATTTTGGTAGCGCTGAGTTACCCCCTTATGTCCTGTCATGTGTCCTTTTGCTTTGTCTACGTATCATTGCCTTTTATTAAATACTTGCTTTTCCATTTAACATCTTGGTTTTCATTTGTTACCTCCCTCACCCTAGCTGAGCTGGGTCATAACAAAAGTGGGGGCTCGTCCGGGATCTGAACACCCTATCCCTTCAAAAGCGATAATGGATAATGGATAATTGGTTTGGCCCAAATTGATGTTTGGTATTTCAATTGGCTTTCTAAATTTAGTTGTGGTGTTAGTCGATGGGGTGGTGGAATGGTGGCTGCTGTTGTGCTGGTCCAGACAATGGCAACCTGTGGTATGGAGAGTGATTTGGGAGTGACCTGTGTCCGGCCTGATCAACTGTGCACATTTCATGTCCTGGTCATACCTTCCTCCTCCAGTTACTCTGGGGTGGAGCTCGGCTCCTAGGATGCCTGGCTCACTCCGGGGGCTGGAGCAGCTAACGTGGTGGCCTGTGTTCTGGGCCCTGCTCAACGGACCAGGATTCGTAATCCCACCTCGCGCTACATCACGTGAGTATTCTGGATTTGGTGGTTACAATACACTTACGTTTTCACCCCCCTGAAACACAGTCTCCGTATGAACGGTTGGTAGCAACCGACATCCAACTATACAGTTTTACTGCCACATTGGCTCCGTGTAAACTCAGCCTCAGATACGCTGCACAGCAGGGAGCTTTTTCACACCCGCGAGAGGGAAAAAGGTGTGAAATCCCCCTCTGCTCTGACTCCCACCTCCCCGCTGCTTCCCGCACGTAAATTTGGACATGCGCAGTAGCGGAGAACAAACATAAACAACAATGGCGGCGGTCACACTAACTAGCTTCGTGGGCTTCCAGCGCTGCACAGAGGATAATTCTACACCTTCGTTCGTCAAAACGAGACCACGCGAAGCTCTAGGTTCAGTTTCCATTTTCACAGCTGCTGTTAAAATGCAGAATGATGTTGGTACGTTCTGAGGGTCTGGTACAGGAAGTGAGTATACTGCCGAGAGGGGGGCTGGACAGGGGCTGGGGGTCGTGCTAGTGTTGTAAAGTTTCTCTGCCCACTACTGGCCGGACGCTAGAACTACATCGTTTTTCAACCTCATGTGAACGCTGAGAAATTTGCATTAGGAGCCTGGTCGTTTCTGTTAATAGCCTGGAAACGTCTGCGCAGCGTCTCAGTATAAACAGGGCCTAAAGTGGACACTCCTCCACATATCTCCCTCCAAATAAGGTAGTGGTTAATGTGATGCGCAGGGGAGTTGGTACGGCCTGGTGTAGAGACGTATATACACATGTGCGAGTTGGTGTGTGTTGGAGGGGAGAAAACTTGAGAGAGGTGTGTGTTTATTTGGATAGATGTGAGACTTACACGACCCAGATTCCCGTGATCATCAACACAGGAAGACTGAGAGGAAGCATCATCCACAACGACATGATGCTGACTGGCGTTTTGATACTGCTGAAGACAAACAAACAAAGGATTCAGAAGAAAGTATTGGTGAAAACATTAAAGATTGGCGGACAAGTTGTGTAAATTAAGTTATGCAACACAATGGAAGAAGAGATAGAGTATTGTGTTGGCTTCTAAGCGATCATGTAGCCATCCTTTGGGTGTCCGCTTTCTGACTCACAGCATCAAACACAACACGTAGCCGTAGATCCATTTCCAAAGTTTTATTTCAAATCAAATAAAATAGTCTGCGCGTAGCGTGCGTGCGTTGCGGTCAAAAACCATGTCGGTCACCCATTATGCCGATTCCCCCACACCTGTCCCATCTATGAATACTCTGTCCCGTCTGTCCCGCCTAGGGTTTAATCCCGGGACACGGGATTCCCGGGAAATCTGATCAAAACTATTTCCCAATTCCCGGGAAATGTTATGACGGGAAACGGGAAATTAAAGTAAAAAATACAGTGCGCTCCTATTATAGAGCACGTTTATTGTTGTTCAAAGTTCAAACATATTTCATTTACAATCAACATGTCTACAGCTGAGAGGATGGCTCATAAATTGTGTTTTTGACAACAAATATGGGTCTTAATCGCGCTAAACCACGACTTGTAATGAGGCCAGCCTCAGGGTACGGGGCACATGTGAGCCCAGAATTTGGTTACGTCCAATTCTATCAGAAAGCTCCTTTCTTTTTTTCCATCTGCTAAGGGCAGCAACAGGTATGGCTAACATGTATGGCTAACCCCTTCTTCACACCCGACGGACTTCACATCAACCCACTTGGCAACCGGTACCTGATCTCCAACATCACCCACGCAGTCCAATCCCATCCTACATACCTCTGACAACCCACCCCCACATCCCACTTCCCTCCTGCCCGTCTGTGCCCCAGCATCAACCCCTGCTCTCTTCCCCAGCACAAAATTACAGTTTTGTCCAGACCCCGCCCCTACAGACCGTCCATACCCAGGAAACCGTCCTTCACCAACCTCATCACTGTTTCCCCCTGCCCTCTCTCATCCTCTGCTCCCCCCACTTCGAACTATGGACTCCCCATCAACAATAACAACCCATCTACCATCAGGTTTGCCCTTTTAAATGTACGCTCCCTTTTAAATAAGACTTTTACTGTTAATGATTTGATTTTAGAACACGAGCTGGATGGTATGTTTTTAACTGAGACCTGGCTGGGTCCGGATGCTCCGGCTGTTCTTACAGAGGCCTCCCCCCCAATTTTAACTTTGCTTTTAAAACAAGAGAAGGAAAGAGAGGTGGCGGCACAGCCTCAATATGCAGTAACACCCTGGCCACCAAACCTATTGTTTTTAACCAATACTCAAGTTTTGAGTATCACTCTCTTGTTTTTAGCAACCCCAAAATTTTAACAGTAATTATTTATAGGCCACCTAAAAAGTGCAGCCTTTTTATTATTGAATTCTCAGCGTTTTTATCACAGTTACACAATTATTACAATATGATAATTTTAACCGGTGATTTTAACATACACATTGACAATCCCTCTGACAATTTTACCCTAGATTTCTTAGATGTTCTTAATTACATGGATTTTACCCAACACGTCAGACAGCCAACACACAACAGAGGACACACCCTCGACCTGGTCATTACCTATGGCCTGACTGCGGATGTGTCCTCTGTTGTCGACTTGGCTGTCTCGGACCACTACTGTGTGTTTTTTAACATCACTGGTTTTATACAGCGTGAGACCTCTGTGAGAACCGTGAGGAAGCGACATCTAACCCCTGAAGTGGCTGCAAATTTTATCGACATCCTAAACAACACTCCCCACTTGGTTTTACCTGCCCCCTGTGATTTTATAGCAAATGATTTTAACAGTAGACTTAGTTCTGCGTTGGATCAGGTGGCTCCTTTAAAAACAAAAATCATAAAAACAAAATCTGCACCCCCATGGAGAAATGAAGAAGTACGCAAAATGAAACAAGAGTGCAGGGTGGCAGAACGAAGATGGAGGAAAAATAAAACAACAATCAACTACGAAATATATAAAAACAATCAAAAAGCATACAATTACACAATTAGAAATCATAAGAACAAATACTTTGCAAATCTAATCAGCCAGAACAAAAATAATCAAAAAATCCTTTTTTCAACCATCGACACCATTTTAAACCCTGATTTTAGCATGTCTCTTTTAACCCCCACAGACTCCCTCTGTGAGGATTTTGCAGTCCACTTCACGGGGAAGATAAATACAATCAGATGTAACATTTTATCCAACCGCACTACTGTTTTTAACACATCAGATTGTTTGTCTTCACCAGAGGAAACACTGGACAGTTTTGTCCTGGTTGATGCTGAGATGCTTGATAAAGTTTTCTCCTCAGTGAGGCCCACCACATGTCTTTTAGATCCAGTCCCCACTCCATTTTTTAAGTCATTTTATGAATCTTTTAGAGAGGAGCTTTTAAACCTGATGAATTGCTCTCTTCAGACTGGGGTCTTTCCTGCAGCCTTCAAAGCGGCTGTGGTGAGACCCCTTCTGAAGAAGAGCAATTTAGATTTTAATGATTTTAACAACTACAGACCGGTATCCAACTTACCATTTTTAAGCAAAATTTTAGAAAAACTTGTTTTTACCCAGCTCAATGCCTTTTTAGATCAGCAGCAAATTTTAGAGAAATTTCAATCAGGTTTTAGGGTGAACCACAGCACAGAGACTGCTCTTTTAAAGATTTTAAACGATTTTAGACTAAGTTATGATTTCAAAAAGGTGACTGTGTTGGTTCTACTGGATCTTAGCGCTGCCTTCGACACAGTAGACCACACAATTCTTTTATCACGCCTACAACACCTCGGCCTCTCTGGTGCTGTCCACAAATGGTTCACTTCTTATTTAACAGACAGATCCTTCATGGTAAGTTTGGATACCTGCTCCTCTCAGGTCCATAAAATCACATGTGGTGTGCCCCAGGGTTCCATTTTAGGTCCAGTCCTTTTTAACCTGTACATGCTCCCTCTTGGCGGTGTCATCAGGAGACATGGAATTAACTTCCACAGTTATGCAGATGATACACAGCTGTACATCTCCATGTCTCCTGATGACACCAGGCCAATGGATGCTCTTTTTAACTGCATTTTAGACCTGAAATCCTGGATGGCAGAAAACTTTCTCCAGCTTAACCAGGACAAAACTGAGGTTTTAGTCATCGGTCCTGAGGCCCAGAGAGAGAAACTTTTATCAAAACTCCAATCACACTCTTTTAATCCATCATCACAAGTGAAAAATCTGGGCGTAATCGTTGACTCTGAGCTGACTTTTATTCCTCACATCAAGAGTATCACAAAAATAGGTTTTTATCATCTAAAGAACATCGCCAGAGTCCGCCCCATTCTCTCTCGGGGCAACACGGAGACGCTGATGCATGCTTTTATCACCAGTCGCATTGACTACTGTAATGCCCTGCTCTCTGGTCTTCCCAAAAAGAACATTGCAAGTCTTCAATTACTCCAAAACTCGGCCGCACGTGTCCTGACTAAGACCAGGGGGCGGGACCACATTACACCGGTTTTAAAATCACTGCATTGGCTCCCCGTGTGTTTCTGAATCGATTTTAAGGTTCTTTTAATGGTTTTTAAATGTCTTAATGGTCTTGGGCCTTCTTATCTTTCAGATTTGCTTTTATCCTATGAACCTTCCCGGCCCCTGCGCTCCTCCAGCAGCAGACTCCTAACCATCCCCAAAGTCAGGACACACACTCACGGCGAGGCATCTTTCCAGCACTACGGCCCCCGTCTCTGGAACAGTCTGCCGGAGGAGCTCAGGGCCGCAGAGAACGTTCATATTTTTAAAAGTAGGCTCAAGACACACTTTTTTAGATTAGCTTTTGATTAGTTTTTATTATTCCATTCTATTTATCTTTTATTATTTATTATATTGCTATTGCTATTATTCATGTATTGTGTGTTCCTTTTAGTCTCACATTTTAG